AACGGACGCTGACTGTAGACGTAGACGGAAATATTTGTCACTTAAGAGATCAGATTTACTTTAATATATGTTCTTCTTTTCTGGATTTCTAGATAACAAGCGCGTTCTGCCAAAGTGAAGAGGTCCAGCGGTGCAGCACTTTTATGCTGAATAGCAGTGGTCATGGAATAGTTTTGTCAGTTCGTAACATTTAGTCGGCAAACTATAAAAATTAACAGCTATTATTATTTAGCATAGAAGCGTCCCACTATTGGGCAGATTCATGTTGATAGAATGGACACAATAATTATTTTTATTACGACTATAAAGCACAATTTATTTTTGTTACTGAGGAAAGTACTTTTCAGCACTAAACAAATAACCTAGCCTTTTTCAGACCAGCTGTTGCTATTAACTAACGATTTAAGATGTATATTACACATACTTACGGTATTAGCAGTAGTTTGCCACATATCGTCTTTGCATTATTCATTCATAATAACAAATTACATCCTACGGAAACGAAATTAGTCAAAGAAATGGTGAATGTGCTACCAGCAACTTATGTTGGAATCTGGTCAAAAATGGTGAGAGAGTCGACTACTTTATTGTTAAATAAAGCTTAAGTTTTAAATATACTAGAGCGGACTGTATGACAGAAGATAGAAGAAAAACGGCTTCTGGTTCTTTCTGTACCTCCATCGTTGCGCCTATGCCTTACTATGGCAGTTTTTACGCTATTTGTATAAGCAAAGGAGGCTGTTTCTCGCGCCACTGAAGATATGTAAAGTAGGGGCTTGATTTTTGAATCTCGGAGAAATACGTGACAGAAATACATTCGATTCGAGGAAAATCGATGGAATTCCTCTACATACATTCTGAGAGGAAACATATGGTATGTTTGCTGGAGAGTGCAGTTTGTAATTTGTAGAAGATGCTATTTGTGTGTGAATCACTAATTGCTAATTGCGGGATACAAATTAGATTAGAATAGTAAATAACAAGCAGTACAGTACAGTTGCTAGACTGAGGTACATGACATAAGGCCACAGCAACTTTTTCAAAAACTTGGGCGTAGGGATAATGAATTAATCATGTTTACATTTTTTCGTAGCTTTAATGTTTGGGTTTGTTATTGTATTTTTTTTATTGTAGCCAACTACTACTACCAGCGCTGATGCAAGTGTTTCTCCATTATTACTAACTGTATTGCATCATATCATATATAGGATCATCAAATGAGGGCTAACATTTTTAGGGCCTAAAGTTCGTCTAAACGTAATACGAGAAAGATTCCATCTAGTCTAAATATGAGCTATTGAACTTGTATTTCCAATATTGAGAACAAGCTACTCTACAAGTATACGGAATGGCGTATAACCTGTAATACTTCGACTCCTACAGAAGACAATGTTCCGTACGCCACTGATTTTTTAAGCATATTTCACGTTAGAATTCAACTTCACATGAACTATGTCTTTACATCGATGTATTTATTTATTCATCGCAGTAAAACAATGTTACGATTTTTATAAAAATGCAATGAATCTTCTTTGCTGCTAGAAAATGAGGCTATTATTGTTTGTCTCCGGAAGATCCTGTTGATCAAGTAACTGCCCCATGCCATTACAATCCTTGAGAAATTTCAGTATTTTTGGAGACGATTTATTTATTGTGCGAGTTTCCGGAGTCTGATCCTGACTTCTGGATAATAACTAAATCTTGCATTACTTTGAAAACATCTCGAAGTTAACGCTTGACACGCGTATACGAAGAATGACAATTCACCACAACGTTGTTTGAAGGAAGTGATAAGATATTGACGTTGAATTGTCAGCAAAAAGATTCACTCTCTTTTGAAGCAAAGTTCCTGTATGAATAATAATCATACTTCAAATATTCATTGAATGCAGAATCCGATCCTGTACTTGTCAGAATAAAAGGCAATTATTTCGGTAGGTGGTGGCAAAAACACAAAATACGGTCTCGGGTTTCATCCGATGTATATTCTGACATTCTTCAGTTCTTATAGTTTGGAAAGGATGCACAGGACCTGAATATCAATAAGCAGATTTGACATATTCAGATATAGTGGATGAATACTTTTTCAGAGAAGTACGCTAAATGTTTCGTAAAGGGGTTATGTAATTTTTTCATTAAAAACCTGCTGTCATAGAACTTGAATACGAGACCATTGCGACTATTACAAAACAGTTAAAGTTACGAGACTAGACAAGCTGCGTGCAGCATTTCTAGTAAGAACAAAGAGGCTGTGGTAGCTGTCAGTGCAGACTTCACGAAGTTACGAGGGTTGGTCTTGGTAGGCTATGTTAACAACATAAAACGTCTATATTACAATCGGTTACGTGGTTTTTGGTTTTTGCGTGACAGGGATTTTAATATAATTGGAATATGCTGAGTAAAGAGTTGTAAGAAAATGCCGCTAGAAAGGGTATGGCGCTCACTAAAATTGATCATAATATTGTAGAGATTGTTGGAGGGTATGCAGCTTTTTATCGTATAATTAAATGCTGGTACTATAATCTTAATTGTAGTATTCACCCTCGCCTATCGTCCTGAAAACGCGAAACTTCAGCCAGAGCTGTTGTCGTAGCACACCGGTTGACTGTTAGGCAATCTTCGACTGCTAATGTTGCATATGCATTGTTCCTGGATCTGAAATGCGAGAAATAGAACTTCTACATCCATCCCCAGTACAGTGTGGCCCTAATATGGCGAAGTTAATAATCTGCGCATTTGAGAACCATAAGAAAAAGAAACGTGGAATTAAAGACTTATGGTCCAACGTGAAAAACAAAGGATAAATTTTAGGTGTTACATAGTATTCACTAGTTCTGACCCCCTAGTAATTTCATACTATTTCCAAAATTGAGTCGACTTTTATAAGAAGAACGTTTTCTTCAGATCAACCGGTGATATCTGCCGCAGCGAACTTGTTTTAAACATAGGGAGCAACCCCCATAGATTGAGGTCTCCTGTGTCATTCCAGTAGGCATTGAATGGAGCCAGAAGAGCAAACACCAATGGTATATCGGTATTTATCACTTGTCTATGTGGAAGACGTCTGTTAAGGAAATATCATCGATTAGTTGGACATCCTTTTTCCGAATCGCATCAAGTATGTTTGGTCCATAGGCGTATGATCAATACTACAAGCCAGGTAATAACGCGCAAAATTATAGATATGCGACCTTGATTCAGTTCACCGTACATTCCCACTAGTTAATCAAATTAAAACAAATAAACGATTACTGCCTCTTATTCCACGCAAACTGAATCTGTCCTACAAATTGGAAGTCATTATGACGTATTAGTCCAAAAATAAAGTCGTTACGTGATGATGAAGCGTAACACCTCCAATGACTTTGGGAATTATAAAATTACCACATTGTAGTGAAGCGGTCGTTCCGAAAAACATCTCCTCATTAATTTGACTACATTCCCGCGGTCGCCTAATGTATTCTCAGCTCATTATTTGTGTGAACTATTTTCGTGGATGTTTTCATGTATGTAAAGGAAGATGAGATGGTTTTCGAAAAGTGCCCAGGAACAGGCAGGTTACAAAATCGCCCATGTTTGTCTGGCCAAATCAAACCAAACATATATTCAAGACAACGTTTCTGCTTGAACGGTGAACTTTTTCAAGCACAATTGACACTTCTGACAACAGGGGCGGCTGGCCCTTAAGTTCTGCAGAGCTGCAGAACTGCCAAAACTTTTATCCCAACAGAAAAAAGCAGTAGTAATTTGATCATTATTTATGTTCCATGTTATCACACAAATAGAAACAATACCGGCCTGCCCCCGCAAGACACGGCGTCGAGTCCGTTTTGCAGCATTATAATCGACCAATTGTGTACTTGTCATTTTCGTCGCGACCGCAGCGTAACATTATTCATGGGCCACTTGAAAAGGGTCTGTGCACTACTTCGACACAAGCCGCACGAGCTTGCTTTTGTCTCTCTCTACAAAATCAAATGCGGGATATAAGCATAAGCATGTGCTGCAATTTATAGAGATCTGTACAGATCTAATGCGAAGTACGATATCTGATTGGTCGGTCGGTGCTCGGTCCTCGGTATTGGCATATTGGTCTTGTCGCGTGACGTGGCTTAAAATTTGAATGCGAAAAATTTTTTATCAGGTATTTTGGGTCTTACGTTGAGTGACTACTGACTCACTGACTGACTGTGGCTATGTAGAAGGGTAGTGCAAGACAATGGATGTGGCTATCAGCGTGAAACGATTCTGGAAATACACATTTGATTGCCGAGATTTACATGGAACTCTGTCTCTTTTGAAATTTTTGATACAAAATAGTTTGGAGGAAGCACTAAAAGAAACAAAAAAGCTATTAGAAATTATTGTTACAACTCCTATGTCAACATCAGAGGCTGAGCGAAATTTCTCAACATTGAAAAGAATCAAGACCTTTCTTCGAAATCCTATGACCCAGGATCGCCTTACAGCGTTGTCGATGCTGTCCATTGAAAAGTAATTTATTTCGACCATGGAAAATTTCAACGGGAAGGTGATCGACAAATTTGCAGCCAAGAAGGAGCGCAGGATCGAACTGACCTAAAAAATAGGTAAGTTCGGATTTGCAGAACACCTGTTTTATTTTGCCACGAGCCGCCACTGTCTGACAATATATTGAATCTGCCTTCCAGGTGAAACTCTATTTGATTTTGTCTTTCAGAAACATATATGTGGTTTGGTTTGGCCAGGTAAACATGGGCGATTCAGAGTATCAGCATGAAAACAATATGATAAGTTTGAGATATTACAGAGCATTGCTAAACTTTGCCAGTAAAGCCGCTTAGTATTATTGAAACAATAACTTTCGAACATCGAATGTTAAGCACTCTAAGGTTTCAAATAATGTTAGTATAAATTGATTAGCAAGTCATTGTACTTTTGTAAATGTTGCGTGGAAGAGCACTCATTGTGAGCTTCATATCTTGGTTGACCCAATAAAGATATTTATTATTAATTCTTACCTCCATGTGACGTGGGGGTAGAAGGAATTTTTTCCAGTCTCGCATTCGTCCTCTGGTCATCTGTAACAAGAACAAGCTTAATAAAGTTCCATTCATGGTGCTAGTCTCATCATTGTATACAAGTTTGGTATGTTTATGACATTATTTGCATTCTTTTTGCTATATCAGGAGGCTATTATGCTATACATGATGTGAAGGAATGACACGATCGTTTCGGAATGAGAAAAACTGAGATTTGTGTAATAATGTACAAGGTGCTGAAATACAACCTTGTAGACATGAATACAAAGGATGAGAACTATTTACATGAGAATTAATTTATACGTTATAAAGCCTTAAGATGTACTGCAAATGATGCCAATATTATGCAAGGCCCTTGAGCCTTCATTCTGAAGAGGATGTATCGGTTTGAAAGACTTGTTGCTGATGTGCGAAAACTTCGAATTCTGAAAATTTTACTTTTAAATAATAATGATGTGTTCTGCCTTGACATTATCATTACGTGGTTTTCTAGAAAAATCAAATAAATATTAGTGACCACTTGAATTAGAAGAAAAGAGGTCCTCAAAAAATTGGCATCATTCGCAATATTTTACAGCTAGTCTGATTAGACTATCCAATCATCCTTATACATTAAATAATTGTATCACTATGATAAGTTTGTGCGGTTGCTGTATATCGCACATTGCCATGTATGTTGTTAATCGATTGCGATTGTTTGTTACCTGTTGTCACTTTAGTATGAATCCTTCTTTTCTCACACACATACAAAGTTGTTGAAAATTGTTACATACCTAGTTTTAATAATTGAAAATGGCAACGAATAAAACAGCAATTCGAAGTTGTTTACTGTATGAGTACAAACTTGGTACAAAAGCTGCAGCGGCGGCGAGAAAAATATGTACCGCATTCGGAGATGATACCGTTAGTGACCAAACAGCACAGAAGTGGTTCAAAAAATGTTCTTCGGGAGATCTCAGTTTGAGCGATGAATCGCGCTCAGGGAGACCAAAAATCATGAACAACGAGGATCTTCGACAGGTTGTGGACGCAAATTCCAGGACAACGTGCCAAGAAAAGAAATCTTCAGAGTGAGTCCTGAAACTATTTGCATCTTCATCAGCTAGGAAAGACGTGAAAGTTAAGGAAATGGGTCCCACATGAACGAACACATGATGACAAATTAAGTCGTCTTACCATTTGTTCAGCAAACATTTCACGCAACGCTAGTGAACCATCGCTTAATCGGTTATTAACCTGCGACGAAAAATGGATCTTGTATTCGAATTTCAAGCGTTCGTGTCATTGATTGTCGCCTATTGATTTGGTACCACACACGCCCAAGGCTTCCTTGCACCCAAGCAAGGTTTTGTTGTGTGTTTGGTAGACAGCAACTGGAATTGTCCATTACGAGTTTTTGGAAAAGGGTCAAACCATCACTGCTAATTTGTAATGTGAACAGCTTCAACGAGTACAATCAGCACTCATCCAGAAACAGTCTTCTTTGATTAATCGTAAGAAAGTGATAGTCTTGCAGGATAACGCCAAGTCTCATACCGCAAAAGTGATCCGAGAAAAAATTTCTGAACTCGGCTGGGAAACGTTACCGCACCCGCCATATTCTGCCGACATTTCGCTCAGTGACTATCACATTTTTTTTTGTCTCTTGACAACTGTATGAGGCACCGACAATTTTTTGACTCCAAATCCAGGTAGTTCTACAATATCGGTATACAAAAATTGGTTCCACGCTGGCAAAAGGTTACTGAATGTGATGGTAATTACTTCGACAAATAAATAGTGTCTTATTGTTTCTCAATAAAAACTTATATTTTATACTAAAAACTGCATGAACTTATTTGGTTACGTGATACATGTCTTAATACTGCATACTTTACTGGCTCAATCAGGCGTTCAGTTAAAAGCCCAGCCTCTTTATGAAACGGCGCCATTCAACTAACTTGCTGAATGATGTTCAACCGTTTATATCAAAAAGCTACGAAAATTGACGAAGGTCAACCTAACTAAATCTGAATAGAGGTTATTTATAATCAGATTAAGTTAGCTAACTTCATAAATCCGCCTTTAATATGTAGTTCTAAATTTTCAATCAATATCAACATCCAGATATTTCTTTTCTGTCACGTAGTTATCCTATTGCTATTAGGCTGTCAATTGAATGGATACTTAAGTGCCTTGGCGACAATGATGTCATTTTTCTCACGGCGTAGTGTCAGTAGCTGTTACTGAATACGAAATAATCTTCTAACAAAATTATTCGTATATGCGGAGTGTCCCAAGGTATAAGAATTTTCCTCGGCATTATGTTCAGGTAGTTGATCAAATGTACGAAACCGTTACAGTTACGTTTTTGGCTGTTATAAAAATCAGATGTATGCATGTATATCCATCGCTGGGTGTACAGCTGGAAAAGGTCAGGCTGTTTGCATAGTAATTGCCACTGAATTTTTGAATATGCTCATATCCGATTGAGTCGAGGGATATCGTCGGGTAGTCTGCATTTCTTCACCGATATACCCAATCAAATATTCACCACCGGGTAGATATATTCATATTTCCTACGTATCACACGCGATATACAACATCAAATATGAATACGGTTCCACTGGTCTCCAAAACATGCAAATACCAGATTGGTAATGAGAACAGTTGGGCTGTGAATGGTGTCCATCACTGACAAAAAAAATAAATTAAAGCTTACATGTTTCATCATACTCAGTGCTGTATGACGTTTTGGCTTCATTGCTGTTCAAACTGTTAAACAAAATAAAATGGCCGTTTTGCTGCGATTTTGCTTAAACTACCGCAACCGTATGTTGTCCACATTGATTTGTGGGTTGCAAGTTTTTAGGAAGAGATTATGCCACATGCATAGCTCAACGATATAATGCTTTTGGAACAAGATGCGACGCTTTCATTAGTATCTGACTCCAGAAGTGTGAAAGTATTAAGTTTGGTTTTTACGAGGTCAACATTACAATAGAGTTAGAAAATATTCATATCCTGTTTCACACTTAGCAAATAAAAATATGAGACTGGGGTAGCAAAAATGTAAAACGATTCTTGAATCAAACTTCAAAAAGGTTTAGTTACTTGTGATAAATAACGGCTCATACCCTGTATATTTGGCTGTCGCCAATACCCAAAGTGAAATATAGAGCCTTGCGGGATCCGCAGAGGATATATGCAAAAGCCTCTCTTATTCCGTTAGTATGGAGGGAAGAGAGAAATAATAGGTGTTGGGGTCAGTAGTCCCTGGAGAGTCGTAAAGGCGGGTAAAGTATCCGGCAAGGATATGGACACTGCCACCGTCCGCAAGAGGACGTCGCACATTTATAAATTTAAACTGGAACATATGTCTAATATCGAAGTAGGGAGGATACGATACGACTTGCAATAGATAGATAATCGAGATGGAATACAGGCGGAGGACCTCTATTTGTACCAAAACCACATAAATACTATACAGTGATTTTGAAAAAGGATTCCCACTAATTATTGAACGTTTATGAAGCAAGACCTTATACTTTTACCTTATACTTCCGAGGATATGCTTCTCTTCAATGCAAAAAAGCAGTTTTCAAAAAAATGTTACATGACACCTTTATCCTCTTGTGTCTTCAATTTGAGGATTATTTATGTTTTGATTAGATGTTTGCTTTGTTGTATCCCACGGCCTGCTTCTATTGTCTTTTTCGTATGTAAATACCCATAGTGAATATGCATTTAAACAAAAAATGTCAACAAGATATCGAGATGCGGTTTTCGCGAGCTTGTTTAGACACCATTGCGCTCTTTTGCATAAACAAAAATTATACCAATACATTCTCTTTACATCCTTACTAACCAGATCTAACGGCACAAAGTGTGTGCATTCACCATTTTTTAGACGGCATGTTAAGGTGCTAGGAAAAGAAAAGATAATTAGGACAACTTTCATTTTTGAAGGATTGCATGCATACGCCTACAATCTACGGAAAAAATAATATAGCAAAAGCGTTTATCAGAAGATAATACTGCTAAAAATTACAATGTTCCCGTGATAAAAGGCCAGGACGTCATTCCTGTCATCGCCATTACTCATATCTTAGCAGCTGTTAATTCCTTAAATCGATGTTGCTCGTTTAACATTTGATCATTACGTCAAATTTGGTCATAACTTTCAATGTTTTTTACACCAAACTCTCATATCAGTAACAAAACAACAATATTTTTCCTTACTAACCTGAAAAACTGCCATCTTTTATACTGCATTTCTATATGAAGAAGTTACATTTCTGTCAATAGGTGAATAATAATAATGAAGGAACCCTAAGTACATAATGAATGTTTTAACATATCTAATAACTTTTGCAGAATCTATTTTGTAACTGAAATTATTGTTTTTAGTAGTACAGTGAAATCCATTTATAATGAACTTGCTTGTAATGGAAACCCCTATATAATGGACACAATTTAATTATTGAATGGTTCAATATCGTTGCATGAATAGTATATTTCAGCGTAAAAGAGCAAATTGAAAATTTGAAGCTGGCGTCTGGCCGCCATTTTAGAACAGTTTTTTAGTGGGATCGGGTATCATGCAATACCTCATTTAGAAGCCACTTATAAGTGGTATAATCTCTATAGAATATAGCATTGCCAGTTATAGTCGCGTACTGACGGGCTGTCAAAGTTGAGCGCTTTTTTATACATTGAGTCGTATAAGTCAAGAACCAATTATTATCAAAACGCTGTAGTATCTATGCTACATCAATCTTCTTCTCTTGAGATAATATGGAAAGACCATTAACAAAAATGATCAAAAACCGTCAAATATCTGATGATGACATTTTATTTCATATCGGATGCAGGATTTCAAAAAGAGAAGATTGATATAACATACTACGTTTTGATGATTAACTGTTGAGTTATAAGCGATTCAATGTATAGCAACGTTCGAATTTGGCAGTCTGCTTCAGAGGAAGTAGTCTTACTTCCTAGGATGGTTCAAAATAAGGTATTACATGATCTACCGTTACATTTGAAAATCGTTCCAA